CTCCCCTCCCCTCCCTTCTTCTCTCTCTACCCCATCTATTGTAATTCATTACTTCTATTAAAGCCAAACCGTTTGTGCTTTTCTGCACAGGGAGGTGTCACGGTATAGGACTGGGGAGACCTTCTCTAGCAGCACAGGGTGGCAGATGTGGGGATAGGTGGAGAGGAGCCTGGGAACACACCAACCTTGGGAAGTTACAAGGAGGCACAGTCCCCTCTCACCTGCTCCAGTGGGCAGCCTGCTGGGCTTGGTCTGGATAACTCTTTTTTTTATATCCACCCCTAGATGTCAGCACTACTCTACACAGGGTTTAAATGGCTGACTGCAGGGTACCTTCCCAGGAGGGGGAAATTTCAATGCTGGGGGAGGTAGGGGGGTTCAGAGGAGAATCCCAGTCATGTTCTTCCAGGTAAAGCACATTGACATCCCCACAGTGGTGCGATTTCTCTCCCCTTTTCCAAATTATTCTGAATCAGCACCCAGGGCTCCCGGAGCTGGAAGGATGTGGTCTGAGGACCAGATCCCAGGGACTCCGGGGATGGTTTCTCACAGTCTGAGGGTAGGAGACCTGAGTTCTCAACAATCCGGGAGTGTTTTCTCTAGGAAAAGCAAATGTGAATTGCTTCCATTTGGAGGGCCAGCTCCCTTCATCTCTCTAGCTCTACCTTTAATGGATGCAGAGACGTGCTTGGGCCAGGGCTGGTTTGCTGAAGGATAGGTTCAGCCTGATGCTGAACAATGTGTTTCTCTGCATTGTGTTTCTGAATTTGGATTTCTTACAGAATTCTTATCAGGAAAAGCATAAAGGTAGGTAACGTGAGTCTTCATGTTCATCAAGAATCACTTCGTGTTCATTAATCAAACTTACCACTTATTAAACTTTATCATATACAAAAAAGGTCTTGTACTAGTGAAGTGCCATGTCTGAATGAAATTCACACCCATTTGGGTGCATACACAAGTCAAAGGAAATTGTGCATCACAACAGGTACGTTTTCAGAGTATTTGCAGTTTTGCAGAAGATGGAAGTTGGAGAATTCAAACTGTTTGCTACAGAAAGCATCAGGAGAATGGATGTTTATTGTGGCTTCTCTGTTCTTGGAGGAGAATGATGGCACCTCTTGGAAAAATTTGATCTCCTGTCCTTTTTGCTATCAGTGTTTGAGTCATACCATATCTTCTTTTTTGCCATTTTAAAAGAACTCAAATAAAATTGTAGAGGGCACCTGAAGTTTTTCATGTGAAGTCTGATGTCCTTCCACCTAATTCATAGTAGTAGTATTTACTTCTTTATGGTAACACTCTTGCTTCATTAGGGGATACCCCAAACTGGGCTGAGGCTGGTGAGTCTCTTGCTATACAGCTCCACACTACCTTGGCAGCAAAAATATTTTCATCCACAGGATACATTTGGTTCCCTTCCCGAAGGACTTTGAGGAAACAAGGGCACAAATAAAATCTCTTAGAAATCCTGACAGGTAGTGTTTAGTTGCATGGTCAGGACAGGAAGAATGGGCTTGGATATGACTGAGATCCCAAAGTATCCTCGGAGGGATAGTTAAAGGTATGTGCTTTATAATATCTGAAGAGAATCAACAAAATTTGATTCTCTTCGGATATGGTAAATTATAACACTCACATTTAGCCGTTGGCCCCCTGGCCTTTTATAAGCCCAGGGAATCATATTAAACTCTGAAAGGTAATGTATTAGTGGTTAGTTTATGTTCATATGATTTGATCAGTTTCTGCACCCCAGAGAGGAGTGAGAGAAGGCCTTGGATCTGAGTGTGTGGTAGACTGGCAGGTGATGTCTTCCCATTAAGAAACTCAAAATTTAGTGTGTCTATCACTTACATGCGTGTGTCCCTTCATTCAACATTTATTGAATACAAAGCACCATGTTAGACACCGTCATCCAAAAGTATCTACCTTGAATAAATTAAAATGTAAATTTTAGCGTTTTAAAAAATTCCTGGCTAAACACTAGTCAGTGATTTGCTGTAGAGTGAGGTGGTTAATTTATAGCTCATAGGCTCTAAAGTTCCTGGGGCTGCAGAAACTCAAGGCCAAAGTTAACATTAAGGAGCTGAGAAAAGCGGATCTATGTCTTTGTGTTCAGGATCTTGATCTGAAACTCAATATCCTCAAATCATCATTGGGTCTCCTCCCTATTCTTCCAGTTGTCCCTCAAAATTCTGGGGGCTTTGTGGCTATTAGTTGAACTAGATGGATTCTTAAACGTGGTCTGAAGAGGCAGTCCTTGAATTTGGATGGGCAAGGTTGACTTTATAATGTAGGGCAGAGGTCTGGAGGGCACTAGGGTAACTCGCCTGCCACGCCCTGCAGCAGGCACCTACTAAATCAACAAGCCACCAGCATACTGCTTCCTGGAAGGAGGGTGTATTTTTTGTTAATAACCAGTCTGATTTTGGTGAAGCTGAGTAATTAGCTATTTGGGATTGTGTTCCTTCAGCCCTGAGCTTACTTTCTTCTTGAGTTCATAAAGTTCCTCTGGAACCTTAGAGATCATCTTATCAAGTCATCGTCTTTGATAAATAAGGAATCTGACTTTGCCACCTGGAGTCTTTTTGTTCACTATGGTGCTGGCTTCCTCACTTATGAAATGATGAACAGTGTTTCGACTTTGCCATTGAGGTACTGCACAGCGCAAGTATGGTATATACTGGATTTTTTTTTTTTTTTTTACCCTGGATGCAGGAAAGACTTTTTTTTTTTTTTTTAAATATTCTTATAAAACAATAAATAGGACCCCTAGCACCCCACGGTCTCTCTGCAGGAGCCGAGTTTAGCTCTGCCCTTCTTAGCACTCTGGAGAACACAGCCTTGTTGAGAAACTTGTTTCCTAGCTCAGTTCATTTCAAATAAGTGAGGCAGTCAGCCACGCTGATGGGATTCAGTTAGGAAACAAAGACATTCGACAATGCAAGCTGACACACAACAGAGAAGCAAAAGAATGTTTGACTCCCTACTCCAGGGATCAAACTTTGCATTAAGTGGTCCTGCCATTCCTGGTGGGAAGACATAGGTTGCTAGAAGGCGCTGTGAGCTCTGGAAGCAAGGGCTGCATTCCTTCTGGGTCAGCACTCACCCTTACACATTTGCCTGCATATCCTTGGACTCCGGCAACCTCTGTGGATCTGACCATACCCATCCCATTACCTTCCCCTGGGCAATGCATTTGTAACCCTCTGGCGGGTCTGCCTGGCCATTTTTCTCTCCACCCCTGTATTGTACCCCCTCAGTTCAGAGCACATTTTTTTTTCCCCCAACAGGGAAAAACATCAGCAGAAAAGCTTGTGTGCTGATGCTTTGGAATGCAGCTGGATCAGCCTGGATCAAGCACCAGATGTGGGAAGCCAAAAGTTAGGTGGTGCAAAGTCTCTAAATTCAACATGGCGACCAGCCTGCCTGCTATGCTTAAATTAGGATGCACTCTTCTGTTTTTTGTTCTCTCTGCTTTACTTGCTGTATGACATCAGGGTACTCCTCTTGCCTCTTAAATAGGCCAATGTAGAGTTTGAGCTGCCACACAAATAATCTTGCTGTTAACAACTTAGTGCCCACATCCATCTTTCCTTCAGGTTAGTTTATCTCAGGGAAGTGAGGATCTGATTTATAAATGCTGTGAAGTTAAGATCCTCGCTTCTGGCCACTTTTCTGAGCTTTTTCTTCAGTACCTGTAAAAACCCTTAAGCATTTCTGGCAGAAATTTGCATGATGATATTTAGTACTTTCACTACAGATAGTTCGGAACTTTTTTTTTTTTTTTTTCTTTTTGCTTTTTGAGTTTTTTGAGCTTAAGAATTCAGGTGGCAATTCTTTAGCCCCATAGTTTCTTGCAGTACAAAAATATTCCTTTACTCCCAGAAATTTTCCTTGCCTTCTGGGAGTATCTTTCTTTCTTTCTTTTTTTTTTTTTTTGGTTTATATGTTTTCTCATAAAGAAAAAAAACTGTACTTGGCAACACTAATATTAGCCAAATAGGAAAGAAAAAGAAAAGCAGCTCTCACTGTTAGCATTTGGAATATTTCCTGGAAGAAATATTTTCTGAGGTCCTTGCACCTCTGCTGATCTGTTCTCACTCTGCCTCACACCTCTCTCAAGGTATCTGGACTGTGCTGCTATTTGTAGTTTCATTCAGCAGGGCAGTTTGCTGTCTTGCAAAAAGGAGTTTAGGCTTTCCAAACTAAACGAGTTTCCTCCCTAAGAAGAGGAAAATTGGCTGCCAACCCAGTCACAGCAACAATCTGTAAGCTGCTGGAGAGCAGCGTCTGTCTTATGCCATATTTTACCTAGTGTAGGATGCCCATTAATTATGAGATGCATTATTCGTTTTGCATCACTGACAAAGAAAACATCCTTCATGCTAAAATGCAAAAAGAATCTGAGTCTCAGAGTGAACAAAATAAGGCCTATTTGTACTCAAAAAGTTCCTGGCACACTGTCCTATACAGGGTAGGCAAAAAATAAAGGTTTGTCAGAAGAGTCCGTGAATGACAGGGAACTGGATATCGGACTTGCTTGATTTTAAAGG